TCTAGCCGAGGGAAGATCTGGCGACATGAAGGGAAATTTAAATAAGTATGGTGGAAACTCTGTTGTAGATAGTCACAAAACTGTTACACTCCATTCCGATAATAACCGTGACATAAAAAGCCACTACCAGTCATTAATCACTAGTTTAATTAGTAATCACTAATCAATCATAATTCACTATATTAATCATCCATCAATTATGACATAAATGAATGATCTTAGATTTTTTTTTTCATTGATTCATTTCGATTTTCGTCTGCTTCAATTAGATGCTATATTTGGGATCTTTAATCAAATACATTTTTTGGGGAGGATGATTAAACGTTTTGTTTTGTATGTAAATTTATAACTTAATTGTATTAGAATTAGTTAAATATATTACCTGAATGTTTTAAACTAACGTGGGTTAAATTTGCAATAAGGTTTAAAACATATAAAATTATATATTTTTTTTATAATTCATTTATATTTTATTTATTTGTTATTTTTATAGTTTTATTCATTTTCCACTATTATTTGTTAGAGAAGTATTTTATTAACATATCTAAATTTGTTTGTTTTCCTTGTAGATATTAATTTGAAAAAAGGGTATAACAAATAAATAAAAATAAAAATCATTTCAATTTTAGGAATGTTCTGAAGGTTATGGAGATTTTCCAAAAAAATTAATGTAAAATGTAATACTGCAATGTTATACAATTAAATAATATGTTACCTTTTTTTTTTTCTTTTTGAAACAGTGAAGAAGATTTTTATTTTCTGAAGCAAATATAAAATCCAAAAATTATTTTGAATATTTTTGTTATGAGAATTTTTTTTGTGAAGTAGAATAAAAGTATGAAGTTTTAAAAAAAATAGATAATGTTATATTTTAAAAGCAACATGATCTTAACTTTTATTTTAGTCATAATTATTTTCCTTCTATATATTTTTCACAATGCATTTGAACATAAAATAAAAGAAACATAAAAGATCCTAACGTGTTAAAAAGATTTCTACGAATAAAAAATTCTAAGCTTTCTCCAATTTTAGCTTTCGAAAGAATCTGGATTTGGATTTTTTTCTTTCTTTATAGTGAAAGTAGGAACTATTGGACCCGAGCCGATTGAAAGGAAATAAAAAATGACGAATGATTTAAACGATACAGTCTATTTAAAAAAAAATCATATTCAAGATTGTTATTGTTGTATGTATGTAAGATTGTTATTGCAATCGTGTAAAATCAAAATTTGCAAAAATATAAAGTTCCATAAATATTCAACATAAACATGTGCGTATGAGTTAAATTATCATAACTAACACTTTCAAAATTTTACAGTAGTTTTTTTATTGCACTTTAAGTACTACTTATTGTGAATGGTGCAAAGTATTTTGTATTTTAAATATATTTGTTTCCTTTTAACTATTTTTTTTTATAATTATTTATGAAATTCAGCAAATGTGATATAGATAAATACATGACAAAGCTTGAAGAGAATCTACCCATTGGTAGCACTCTAATAAAGTTTCCATCTTTTTTCCAGACGCCTAGGAGTGTTTTTAACTTATTTACGAAACTTATATTTCATATTAGAAAAATTGGACAACGGTTTAACACTGGTGAAGAAATATAAATATATAACACAATTAGATCCGGATTTTTGTGCATTAAAAACCTTTGAAATGTTTCATAAAAATCTTAAAACCGTCCATCTGAAATTGAAAACGTACAGAAGTTTTAAAAGAGAAAATACTCTTTAACATATACTCTTGTAGTTGGACATTGTTTATAGATGGTGTCTCTGTTGTACATTAGTCTTATCATGGTACCAGCCCAATGCGACATTTTAGAAAATGAGAAAGCTGACCAAGCATATTGAAAGGAGTTACCTTAGAAGACTGGGTACATCAGACAAACAAAACACTTCTAGCAGAATGGGAGATAGAATATAAGCAAACAGTGCAAACTGAGGGAAGTGAAAACTAACTGCAGTAAATGGCCCACTAGTTCCAGAAGTTCAAGTGGAGAAGAAGTTAAGCTGTGGCACCTTAGAATTGGACACTACCAGTTTAAACATGGCTATCTTCTGAGACGACTCGAAGCGCCCCCGTGTGAAAAATGCAATGACAGTGAAAGACCAATTGGAAGAATATCCTCGATTCGAAGGCAACAGAAAAACTATATTCAACAGCTACTTTAAATATTTGAAGTTAAAAGTACTAAAAAAAAAAAAAAAACATAAATTATTGTAAAACACCAATGATCCTTAAGGGGAGAGAAGAGAATGAGAGAAAAAAAATATCCACTTAAAACATAGATGAATATACAGATAATTTAAAACATCTTTTCCTGCTTATGTAATAACACATATTTGCGCACTTAAAGAAATCTTTGATAGGAGATTTATTATTGACAACGGACGAGTCTTAAAGTGTAACTTAATATCAGTAAATTCAGACAAAACTGAAAATTAAGAAAGTTTTATAAAAAATATTACAGTAATTAAAGAGATGAACTAAAACTAGGTCCGAGATAGGAATCATTACCCTCATGTCGTTAATATTTTTTTTGTTTAAACTTCAAATATTGATATTTACCTGTTGACAATCAGCAGGTGGTCTGATGGAAATAATTAAAACAATGACATGTAAGGTAAAATAGCAACCAGAAATACCGCTTCCCTGGTTTGATTCAGTTACCATGATTTGCTAAAGGAGATCTCTCATCCTGCGCTTTTTTGAGCCTCCTCATGTTAATTGCCACATCAGCTTAAGCCATATTTCATATTAGTATGCCATTATGAGGATCTGACGGCCATTAAAGTTAGGGTGAGAGTCCTAGAGAGCTTGGTTCTGAACGTTGTGGGTTCAATTCCCACCTGGTTCGGTTGATTTTCTTTTCTCCTCTTGGTGGCGCCCAGAAATGAATGTTGACATTCCCACTCTGGTAAATACGTTGCGGTAACCTCAAGGTAGTCATCAGAGATTGGCAAAAAGGACCACTTTCCGAACTTGTTCTCCTACCAGCACTCACGGATCCAGGATTATAATTTTGGGGGACTTCAGCCAGAAAGCCATCTCCCACCTCCCCCGTAGATCCGCTTGTGCCCATGTGTGCCAATGTTCTTATGTGCTGGTCAACTGTCGGCTGGTGGTAGTCAGTGTGTAGGGTTTTGTTAGTCACGTATCAAGGTGTTTTAGTTATGAATCGCTATAATTTTTATTTAAAAGGTTGAAATATTTGTGGGTCCTCTTAGTTAAACCGTATATCCTTGAGGATATATAAAAGGTTCATATAATATGTTTAAGTAAGTATATTTATGAAATTAGGTTCTGCCTCAGTTCTTGTTAGGAAGATTTTGAAAAAAAAATGTGAGAAAAGTCCGTTTCGTTAAAACATACATCACCGTGCAAAATAAAGACTGATATCGATGTCTTCTCCGAGATTGGAATTGCAGTCATTGTTTGACTGAATTCGAAGCTAGCGAAAAATAGGTGCTATTCCACAAACATCAGGTAAATAATAATAATAATAATAATAACATATAGTCTCTTCACCACAGTTAAACAAAACATGGATCTTAAATAACATGAAAGGTAGCCGATCATGTTTTAAACAACTAACACTATCCGATCAATACTATTGGATGTCCAAACAGATATCGGCTATCTAGGAATCCAAAATCAAACAGGCCGCATCGCGATAATAATGGGCAACATTCCAAGGAATTGCAAACAAGATAAAAATCGAAAGGTACGTTTACAAATTTCACAAACTTTGGAAAACACGAAAGTATAAATGGATTGTTTCTCTAGGCCGAAGATCTCCAAGCTTATCGATCCTCTGGCCACATTGGAACTCCATTAAGTTTCACATTAAGACCTTCACTTAAGACTCACGGGTCGCGGTTTTTGATGAAAAGAAAAGCTTGTTCATAAATGACTATTTGATTGTCAAATGAACTTTTTAAGAACAGCTCATACAATAAAAGTTATTGCAATCTTGTGATAGAGCAACTTAATAATTTTGAATTTTTAAAATAATTATTAAAATTTACTGCAAAAACTTTTGTGGGCCCGATTGGAGGTATTTACTTTTTTCTTGTTTCTGTTTGCTACATCAGCTGAAAGATAAATTAAAGGGAGTTTAGATAAGAGCTGGAATCGCTTTCAGACATTTGTTTATTATTTGTGCTGCTTGCGATATGGCGAATTTAATGTATTTCTTCTAAGATTTAAAATATTTGTTTATCATCTGCCATCTTCTTTGAGGAATTTTAAGCCTTCTTTCATTTTCTATTGCTTCCTATGGTTTCTTTAAAAAATTATAATATGTTAGAACAAATGTGATTCTCGATGTCAGCCATATTCGTTTCTCTGGAAATATAGAAATTTGTAAACATTCTATTTTTATTTTTGTAGTTTTTGTCTGTTTGTGTTTCTTGATTCATGAAATCAATTGCTCAACCAGAAAAAACTCTATAAATGAATAAATATTAAAAAAAAAATTTCATTTACAAAATGTTGAGTGTATTCTTTTTTACATGAACGTGAGAGTAGCGAACGATTTCGTTTAATAATTATAATGTACGTATGTATCATAGAATAAGAACTGCCTATGTTTTAATAAATTTATAGACAAACACTCTATTTGATGGTAATGCTGCATTTTACTCATTTAACCCATTTAAATCTGAATATTTACACCAAAAACAACTGAATAGAGGGAATTTAATTGTTACATGTATGTTACTCTAAAAAAATGACTTGTGAATACTTCGAAAATAAGTTTTTATGAAACAAAAAAAGCATATTTTTAAAATTAAATTTCAGGATATATTTTCATCTGGATACAGTTTTTCGACCATTCAAATTTAAAAAAAAAATCGTTAAATGACGTTTCTAGGTTTCGAGCAAATAATCTTATTGTTGTCAATTTCAGCCCTATATTCATTAATTTAAAAACCATTTCGTATTGCCACAGAAGAAAATAACCGAATATCCAGCGATCGTATTGAATCGGAAGAGTTCGGCTGAGGTCGGGTTCCAGTAGCAGAGCTGGATCCTGGAGTCCCGCCAGTAGTGTACAAGGTGCCTATCCGTCGGTGTCCTGTGGGTGAGTACTCCCGTTTTATTTCGTATTTTTCGCCAAATATCTTCCATTTACTCATTAATTGGTATTATTTTTATTATATTATATCATGTACAAAAACATACGTATAAAGTAATAATTGTTAATATTTTCTGGAGAATAACTGTCACATAAACATTTTGTCTAAATTTTAGAAAAGTTATATTTGAATAATGGTATATTTAAATATTAGACAGCATGTGTTTTATAAAATTAATTTTCTTCAAGTCATAAAGGAAACCATCAGTTTTTAAAACTATCAACTCATTGTTATTATTTTTTTTTACCGTCTAAAATACTACATTCTCTACACGATATCTGAATAATATGTAGTGGTGATAAATTGGAACAAATTAATCATATCACTCGCTCTCTCTTCAATTTAATTAAATTTTTATTTGTTTTTGATTTGGCATGTTTTAATTTTTAAATGTGAAATATTGATTTGATCTACTTGAAAAATTAATGTTATCATGTATTTTTTTCTTATAAAATGTTGCCTAGTTTTTTCATTGGTTTAAAATTATTTTATTTATTTTTGTATGCAGTACCAGATATAGCATTTTAATTTTTTTTTAAATATAACTATAATTAATAGATGAAAAAAAATAAACTATACAAAATTGTGTTTAAGAGCTCCTAGAAGGCCTGTTTAAAAAATAAATAAATAAAAAATATTAAAGATACAGTAATTTTTTAGAAATATTTATTAAATATTTTTTCTATTCTTTTTAGTAGCAGTATATAGGTTATAATTTATTAGCAATGCACATATTTTAATTTGTTTTAGTATTTAGCTCAAATAACGCTAAGTAAAAATATGGACCTTTGAAAAAAATAAATAAATTATTATTTTTGTATATTGGGGAAGGAGATTGAACCCAAAAAGCCCCTTAGATCAACCAGTGGTTGTATTTCCAAATTTATTAAAAATTGTATAGAAATATGATGTTTTCACTTGTATTGTGTGGTCTAAAACATGCAATACTTGTATTTTTTTTTATTGAAAACTTCTTTAGTCGCGTTTTGCACTTGTTTGTGGAGAGTGTATTAGTTTGATCCGTCAGATTTCGTTCGGCATTAACGGTCGGGTAAAGTCGGCTAGAGTCGACTAATTAAAATATTTTTACATATGAATTAAAATATCTCAGAAACTATAAATCGGGTCTGCACACTGTAAGTGAGGAAATTGTTTAGGATTTCATCTTCTCTGTAATAGGCTATAATTGAAAATTGTTTCTTAACACGATGCCGTATTACGGAGCCGAAAAGAAAAAAAATAGTGTCGAAAACCAAATGATTTTGAAACTAAAAATCGGACCTGTTTACTGCAAGCGAGGGATATGTTCAACATTTCATTCTCTTTATAACGAGTTATTATTTTTAATTTATATTAATCTCGCCTTGATTATATTGTCACTTCTATTTTGTGGTCTAAAACACACAACTTATTTGTTTTTTTTTATGACGTATTATATTTCTACTTTTGGCATTTATTTTTATTAGACAAACGTGAGATTTTTACAATATTCAAGTTTTATCGCAGATATAGTAATTTTGATGGACACAGAATAATTTTGTCGAAATAATATCTTGAAGTAGATTTTTATTACAAAGTTTTTATGTGTATATATTTACAATAATAGATACGATATACCAACACATACGATTCCTATTTTTCCAGTTTACCGTATTCCTGCAATGAGTACATATATTTCTAGGCCCATCAAAAATATTGTTGAAAACCAAATGATAACAATTTTTATTGAAGATATGGATTGAAATATTTCAGATACCATGAGTCAGATCTGTATACTGTAAACGAGAGAAATGTTTGGCATTTCATCTTCTTTTTAATGAGCTATTATTTATAATTTATATTTCATTTTATTAATCTCGCATTATTGATGTTTTCACTTACATCGTGTGTTCTAAAGCACACACCTGTTTTTTTTTTTTTTTTAATATAATACTGCGTAATGTTAAATTTATATTCTTCATAATTTTGTTACTTAATCTTTTATTTACTTTCTTTAAAAAAAAAATCGAACTTGATTTTATTTTATTTTAATTTTTAAAACACTATTTTAATATAAGAGCCTGAGACTTTCGTGGCTGACACAGATTCCTTTGATGTTGACATTTTTCTACGTCGCTACGATGGTGAAATGGGGGCGGGAATTTGCGGTGCGTGTTTTGTTTCTTCCTTAAAGAGCCTTCCTGAGCCTCAAACCTTTCGAAAAAGAACTCCTAGAAGAAGATATTGGCTGTATTATTAGGCGAATCTTGTTCTATCCGGCCTGGTCCCATGTGGTCCCTCCCGGGCATATCTGATTTTTTAATCTTAACGACGCGGCATTTCTCGTCCTGTCAACGTTGCTGTTCTGGTTTCTGTTTAACCGCTCTATCCGTCGTCCTCTTGTGCTTTTGTACTCTGGCATACCCTCCAATACAGAGGAAGATATGCGAGTTTTCGTTTTTATCTCTCGTTGACATCTACAACTTCATTCAAGAAATAAATTTGAGATTATCGTATTACTGATGTGCCCCATTTATAGACTTGAGGAATGGTAGATTAGAAAGAAAGCTTTATATAATTTTTTTTTTGTTCCTGAAATACTTGATTAAATCTATTCTTTCATGATAAACTCCAGTCCCATCCGAATCCACTTGTTTCCAGCCTTGCTTCTTCTTTGATTCCTGATAATCTTCCTAGGCGTCTGAAAAGGAGATGGCCTCGTGATCTTCTTACCTAGAATTATTTAGGAGTGGTACCACTGGGTAGCCAGAAAACTTCTCAGGAGTTTACGGAACAACTTCCCAAAGTTTCATGGCGATCGGATGAATGGTTTAGTAATGCATAAAGGACAGACAGACAGGCAGACATACATTCATTTATATATATATATATATAAATATATATAGAAGAAGAGAAGATAAAGAGACAGGTTTTAATCTGATTGCTATGGTTATCAATTCACTGTCTATTTTTCTATAAGGGAATCTTTTTCCCTACCGTTCGCTAAATAATTCATAACTGCTCAGGATTTTCTTTTAGTTCAATGATTCAATGACCGTTGTAGAGCTGAGATGCCGCTCTTCAAAACCATATCAAAAACTTTTAGATTTGACGCCTTCATGGGGATTAAATAAAGAAAATCTTTTAATGCGTTTTCTTTTTTTATCTCCAGTTCTAATATACTTGGGGGGGGGAGCACGGTTTGTTGCAATTTGTGCAGTTTACGTGGCCCTAAATCCATGCTTATTTTCGTGTTTATAGGTGGAGCAATTTTTAAGTTATCACACTTTTTGTAGTTTCCGAAATAAAATTGAAGGTTGACAAAAATTAGTTTTCGATTCCAGTGATGATTGGTATTTGATCGTTTATCGAGGCGCGAAATATAAATCTCAACTTTGCTTCTCCTTAAAAAATAATTTAACCCACTTTACACCTAGAAATTGTCTTAGAAATCTCTTCAAGCCTATCCACGTCATTATTTCTAATTTGTGCAAATTTATTCGCTGTATTTGTATATATATAGTTGTAAATTTCGTTAATAAACAAAACAAAAATTGCTTTATGTATTTATTTATTGAAAATGTTTTATTTTATTGTATATACACTTTTGTTTTTTATATTGTCTATATTGAATAGTTTTAAGCATTTTAATACATGTACCATTTTAGAGAGATAAAGGGAGAGAATGGAAATTAAATGGAAAAAAACAAGGAAAAAAAAGATATATATATATATATATTTATTATACTCGTACTTATTAACCATTTCTATAAATTTATATATAAGCTTTATTGATTGTCCTAAAGATTAATCAGAATGCTGTGTGTCCAGCACCCCAATTATATTGGGCCAGCAAGTTTTATATTTTATATGAAAATAAATTGTTTCTCTCTTTTCTATTTAACATTACTTATTATTTAAATAAATTTGAATATATAAAGTGAAAACTTCTTTAGGCGCGTTTTGCACTTTTTTTGTAGAGAGATAATTACATTGAGCCGTCAGATCTCCGTTGTGTAACGCTCGGGTAAAGTCGGCTGGAATCGTCTAATGAAAGTGTTTTTTCATGTGGATTAAAATATCTCAAAAACTTAAAATGGGGTCTGCATATTGTTGGATAGAGAAATGTTCATAATTTCATCCTCTTAGTAATGAACTACTATTCAAAAATGTATCCGCCGTGTTAGAGAGGCGAAAAAGGAAAAAATGGTATCGACAACCAAATGATAACATGTTTTATTTAAGATATGGATTAAAATATCTCAAAAACTAAAAATCCGACCTGAATACTGTATAGGAGGAAAAATTTCAGCATTTCATCCTCTTTATAATAAGCTATTATTTATAATTTATATTACATATTATTAATCTCGTCTTGTTGATCTTTTCACTTCAATCGTGTGGTATAAATGCTCCAATATTAGTTTCAATTTAGTACATTTAGCTAATAATAATTTCATAAATTATTATTTTAATTAAAAATTTATATATAAACTTTAATATACTGATCATGTTGAGATTAAGGCTAAATTTCCTTGAGTGAGGAATTGAGGAAATTGTTTAGCATTTCATCCTCTCTGTAATAAGCTGTAATTCAAAGTTTTTTTCTTAAAGCGACGCTGTGTTAGAGAGGTGAAAAGGAAAAAAATAGTGTCGAAAACCAAATGATTTTGAAACTAAAAATCAGACCTGTTTACTGTAAGCGAGGGATATGTTCAGCATTTCATTCTCTTTATAATGAGTTATTATTTTTAATTTATATTTAATATTATTAATGACGTTTCCACTGACATCGTGTGGTCTCAAGCACACACCTTAGTGGTTTTTTGTTTTTTATCCTATAACATGTTATATTTCTATTTTTGGTATTTATTTTTATTATTCAAACGTGAGATTTTTACAATGTTCAAGTTTTATCGAAGATATAGTGATTTTGATGGTCACAGAGAATAATTTTGTAAATCGA